TGCGTACATAAAATATATGTATAAAGAAACTGCTTTTGTGAAAGAAACAGTGACTAACAGTGATGAAGGTCCTACATGTTTGAGAGAAACTTCAGTAACAAAAAATGCTGAAGATTTTAAGGGTTCTCCAGCAAGCAGTATGTTATGATTCCTTTGTTGTATCCATTAATGTCATCATAGGTAAAGTAACAGGGGATAGTTTAGACACTACCACTAATTCACCACCAATGGGATTGAGGCAAAAGCGTCAAACTGAATATTATCAAACTACACCAAAAAGAAGAAGACGACAAAAGGAGGGGAAGCTAGTGCTTAAAGGGTAGCTGTCAACATCCTAAAGCCAGACAAATGGTACTGTGTCAATCCTGCCTTGAATGGCTGCATTGTATCTGTGTTGGCATCAATGATTGGGAAGTCCAGAAGATAGATTACAAATGTGAACAATGTGTTTCAAAATGATTACAATTTTTTCAATATTAATTAATTTTTGTTCAATAATTTGAGTTAAAATTTTCACAAATTCACAATACTTGTCTGGAGGAAGAAAGTATTATAATACAGAAGTAGCACACGTCACATGGTTACCATTCATACTAGTGTTTAAAACATTGGTATTTCTGTTCAGTACAAACAGACAGACAATTTTCAAGTACTCATCTGTACTGGCACAGCATAACTCTTACCCTTTTTTGACATTTGATTTTGACACTGTTTACTTTACTTACTTGTGTTTACCAGTGTTAAGTAGTACTTACCAGTGTTTACTGGTGTTTACTTGTGTTTGTGTTTACTTGTGTGTACTGTTGTATACTGGTGTCTACTTGTGTTTACTTGTGTATACTGGTGTTTACTTGTGTATACTGGTGTTTACTGGTGTATACTGGTGTTTACTGGTGTATACTGGTGTTTACTGGTGCATACTGGTGTTAGGCTGGTGTTCACTGTTCTTTACTGGTGTATACTATTGTATACTGGTGTTAGGCTGGTGTTCACTGTTCTTTACTGGTGTATACTATTGTATACTGGTGTATACTGGTGTATACTGGTGTTCACTGTTTTTTACTGGTGTATACTGTTGTATACTGGTGTTAGGCTGGTGTTCACTGTTCTTTACTGGTGTATACTATTGCATACTGGTGTATACTGGTGTATACTGGTGTTTACTTGTGTATCCCTGGTGTTTACTGGTGTATACTGGTGTTTACTGGTGTT